AGTTGTAGAAATCTAGATTAAAGGACAATGACTAAAATCCATATGTTTATTATGGTCAATTACCAATGTGACATTTATTGTGGAAAATAAATATAATACTTCCTTCGTCATTAAAAACATAGTTTGTTATTTATATATTTCACCCAACTCGATTAGCTTGACCTCTTATTGTAGGGTTTTAGGTACTCTAAGCGGAATTTTATGAATCACATTCATATGCACCTAAACAGGATCTCATGCATATACAAATAAAGGGTCACATAATAGTTTAGAATTAACCTTAGAAGTGTGAATCCTCTTAGCAATCTTCTTCTCTACCGGAGATAAAGAGCCTCAATTGTAACTCCTCTATTTGGTCCACCGGATTGAATCAACACTCCACCAATGCTAGTTGGACGGGAAAAACCTTTCACCTTTCTTGGAGTTGAGAACCAATTTTAGAGAGAAAATATTGAGAGAAAAACTTACGTTGTTTTCAGAAAACTGAATACTGTGTATTTTAATTATCCTTAACTAATTAATAAGTAATTATATTATTATTAATTAGGTTAGGGTTTTCTCTCCCCTTTCCCTTTTTGGCCGGTCACCCTAAGGCCCACTTTGGGCTTTGGGTTTCTTTATTGATCCAATCCTAATGTGTGACCTTGCAGGATCCGTTTAGGCGGGCTTCGGGTTTGTTACTTACTAACCCAAAGTACTATAGCATTCTCTAGCAAGACGTATAGACGACCCAAATAAACGAATTACTATCTCCATAATACGATCCATAATTATATTGAGTAATTGCACTAAAGTCGAGGACACATTTCCTTCACTTATGTGATATATGATCTTCCATCAACTCTTTCTCTGTCGATCAATTTTTTTTATTCTTAGAGCATCAATAGTCACTGGTTCTTAATACAAGGTCAATTAATGAATTAATCTCTCCTCTTCACTTTGTTCAAATTTAGACCCTTCTTTGTTTCAAAAAAAAAAAAAAAAAAAAAAAAAAAAAAAAAAAAAAAAAGACCCTTCTACAAAAGTCCAGGAAAAAAGTATTCAAAATTGCAATACATTGCATATAACAAATCAATGGAAAAAAAGTACATTCAACTAGTGAGTAAAGGTGCAAAGAAGATGAATATGCATATATTTTCTCAATTCCCAAAATGTTGCACCATTTTACCTTAAAGTTTTACAAATATTACTCGTACTAATATAGAATCAACAGTACGTGATCTGAAAAACTGATCTCTAGTCTTATATTCTTACAACGAGCCAACAACAGACAAAAAACCCATTTCATGAACATAATACTAGTACATAACAAAAAACCCATTTAACTTTGGGGCGGGTCATGTTACGACAAACAGAATTAGTTATGGCCTAGACTTTTTCTGGGTATTAGCTGTAGCAAAAAATAGTTAGGAATTTTTTTGGTTAATTAAACAACCAAAAACAACATAAAAACAGAAAATTGCACATTTTAAAAAAAAAATCGAAAAGCAAAAGATTTAACAAACTATTGTCTCAAATTGAATGAAACTAAAGACACACAATGTGCAATATAGTGTACAATGCACTAAACATTGATATAAAATCCTACAGCTCTGCAAAAATTATTAGGGCAGTACTGATGCTAGAAAAAGAATGAAGTTTTCGATCAATCTAAGTGACAATTTAACAAACAAAACACCAAGAAATCACTTACAACCAAAAAGAATATAAAATGGGCAATTTTCATCAGACAAATATAGTCTAGAAAAGAAGAAAAACCTAATCAGACTCTTGCATTGTCTACCAGCAATGGAGTAGTCCCAGATACAACCGAGTGAGCTGATGAGGAGCTTGTGGTGCCAGTAGCACTGCTTCCTGTTAACCCAGAGGAGCTTGAGATGTAGAAAGGTTCTACATTTGTTGGCAAAGAGCAATAGGTGGGAACTGGGAACTTTGTAGGCAAGTTAGGCAAAGGAGACTCCTTGTTAAGAGCATTTATAACCTGTCTTATGGAAGGACGGAAAGTGTGTTCAGGATGGCAACACCACAACCCAATGATCATCAAGCATTCCAATTCCTGAATGTCACAATCTCCTTCTTTGAGTGTTTCATCGACTGCATCAAGAAGACGGCCTTCTCCATAGAGCTGCCACACCCACTCTATCAAACTCACCTTACTAGGCTCTTCCTTGGATTCAACAGGCCGCCTTCCACAAGCAATTTCAAGGGCCACCACCCCAAAACTGTAGACATCAGATTCTTTGCTGGATTTTCCTGTCATAACACACTCTGGGGCTAGATAGCCTAAAGTGCCGGCCAATACAGTTGTTTGTGATCCTAGACTGTGGTCTACAAGCCTAGCTAGCCCGAAATCTCCAAGCTTAGCATTGAAATTAGAATCAAGCATGACATTGCTGGACTTAATATCCCTGTGCAACACACATTGTTCCCATTCTTCGTGGAGATACAGTAAGGCAGATGCCAGGCCATGGGCAATTCTGTACCTCTCTGTCCAAGGTAAGACCATCTTTCTTTTGTTGGCGTAAATATGGGTGTCAAGACTTCCATTAGACATAAATTCATAAACAAGAAGCAAGTCTCCTCGTTCATGGCACCAACCAAGAAGTTGAACCAAATTTTTATGCCTCAGGCGGCTAATAACCTTCACCTCTGACACATACTCCTTCTTCCCTTGTTTAGATCCCCTTGATATCTTCTTAACTGCAATATCCCGGCTAAGATCAGACAGATAACCTCTATACACACCTCCAAAACCTCCCTGTCCTAGCTTCCCTTCCTCAGGGAAGTTGTTAGTAGCACGAATAAGTTCACTGTATGTAAACCTCCTTGGCCCAGTATCCTGATCAAAATCATCATCATCCATATCAAAATTTATGTCATCGTTATTTTCTCTGGATCTCCTTCCCCTCCACATAAATGCTAATGCACCTAATCCAATAATGATGACACTAATACCACCTACAAGGCCACCAACCAATGCTGCTTTACTTGTTTTTTTGCTTGGCCTAGTTGATGGTTGATTGCTTGTGTTATTTTGTGGAGGTGGCGTAACACTAATATCGACATCTTCTAAGGTTGAGTTGAAATCCCAAGAAAGTATGTTATGAAGTTCGTAATTAGCTCCTGTTGCAGAAGCAAACCCAACTCTGACTCTTTCCGGGAGAACTGATCTCAGGTCAATGACATATGAAATGTTAGAATCTCCATTAAATACAGGATTAGCATCATAGCTTAAGTAAACACTTAGATTTCTGGTAGAAGAATCATAAGTTATCCATGCATTGGCTGTACTCCTGTTCTTCAGGCCTTCAGTCACTGTAAAATTTGCTTTTGAATATACAGAATTGACATTTATTCCTACATGATCATTACTCGAAGCCCCTGAAAAACCTGGATCCCATCTATTGTGGAAGCTATCAAACTCGACAGCAACGAACGGGTATGTACTCGTAACATTGCAAGATTGACCAGGACTAGATTGACCACCTATCAAACCAAGACACCCACCAGATGAGTCCCCTGGAGCATCAGCTGAAACATTGAACGGCGCTAGAAAAAAGGCGAGTCCATCACCGTAGTAGTTTTCATTGTTAATTATCTGTGCGATATCAAAAGAAAAGTGGGTGGTAAAGTTTGTTGTCTTGTTAGTGCTTTTATCCCAAAGGCGCACAGCCTGATTGTAGGATGCTCGTCCTACACTTTGACTGTTACCGCCAACAGCTCTATTGGCAGTCAGCTGAATAGCGCCATTTACAAGAGTTGTATCGCTCCTTAAGGTAATATTTGGTGTGTTTTGGTTAAAACTCGAGAAACTAAAGCTCAACGATTGTACATGTGAGACAACAAACAACAGCAAAATAAAGATATGAAAGATAGTAGAGGTCATTGGGATGAAGTATAATGATGAACCGAAGCTGCGAATTGATAAGCTCATTTCTTTAGATTGGAATACAGAGCAAAAGATACAAAGAATGAAGAAAGGCAGACAAAATTATAGGTTGGATACAAAACTTGCTCAAATTCACTTAGAAAAGTCCAGGTTACACTATATTCAGTTTTCTGCTGCAGTTTGTTGACTATGTCAAACACAAACTACTCAAATAATTCTATGCTATAATTAAAGCACCGTGTTAGTTACAACCAGCTAAGTCATAGAAATCTAGATTAAAGGACAATGACTAAAATCCATATGTTTATTACGATCAATTACCGATGCTGACATCTATCGTGGAAAATAAATACTCCCTTCGTCTTTAAAAACATAGTCCTGTTTATCTATTTATTTCACCCAACTTGATTAACTTGACTTCTTAGCCTCGCTCTCTTTCTTGATATCTTATGGCTTATGCAATACGTGACCATCCATTAACTCTTTCTCAATAGTCACTACACTCACTAGTTCTTAATATAGGGTCACTTAGTCTCTCCTCTTCACCTCATCTTTTGTTCAAATTTAGACCCTTCTATAAAAAGTCCAGGAAAAAAATTATTCAAGATTGCAACACATTGCATGTACCAGGTCAATGGAAAAAATAGTTTCCTCTCAAAATTACGTTCAACTCGTGAGCAAAGGTGCAAAGAGTCAAAGACGTATATGCATATACTTTCTCCATTCCCAAAATGTTACCCAGTTTTACCTTTTGAGAGAGTTTCACAAATACTACATGTACTAATGTAGAATCAATAGTACGTGATCTGAAAAAGAGATCTCTAGTCTTAGATTCTTACGAGCCAATGACAGAGTAAAATCTTTCCTGATGGGGGACTTAAATTTTTGGCAAATAATGGGGACTAGCAGGGTTCAAGAAACATTATGTTAGGGATTAATCATACAACCAAAATTTCCTTTGAATTTATACACAGCAGTACTACATTTAAAACAATGCATAACACCTTGATATAATACTACAGTGAAACAAAATTAAATTGATGCAGCACTGATTCTGGAAATCACAGAAAATACTTCAATGTACAATTGTACAGACTGTATGTTCAGAGAGTTACCATAATGAAATAATTTTAATAAACACCCTTTTTTTCCTTAAAATATAAAGATGTATATATTAAGGCTAATCAGACTTCAGCACTGCATTTTCAGATAACAAGGGGAAAGAGCCATCACAAATAACTGGCCCAGAGGAAGAGCATGTAGCTCCGCTACTGCCTGTAAATCTAGAAGAAGATGTGATATAGAAAGTATCCATGTTCATTTGGGGAGAACAATAGATTGGAACCGGAAACTTTGAAGGCAAGCTAGGCAAAAGTGATTCCGTATTTAGAACACTTAAAGCATGTCTTATAGAAGGACGATAAGTATGGTCTGGATGGCAACACCACAAGCCAATCACCATTAAGCTTTCGACTTGCTGAATGTTGAAATCTTCTTCGAGACTTTTGTCAACTGCTTCAAGAAGACGGCCTTCTCCATAGAGATTCCAAACCCATTCTAACGTACTCGCATTATCTTCAACAGGCCGCCTTCCACAAGCAATTTCAAGGGCCACCACCCCAAAACTATAGACATCAGACTCCTTGCTAGCCTGTCCTGTGATAACACACTCGGGAGCAAGGTATCCTAAAGTACCAGCTAATACAGTTGTCTGTGCACCAAGATTGTGATCTACCAGTCTTGCCAGCCCGAAATCTCCAAGCTTGGAATTGAAGTCGGAATCAAGCATGACATTGCTTGGTTTGATATCTCTATGCAATACACATTGTTCCCAATCTTGGTGTAGATATAGCAAGGCAGATGCCAAATCTTGTACAATTTTGTACCTCGTTGCCCAGGGTAAAACAACCTTTCTCTTGCCTGCATAAAGATGGGTGTCAAGACTTCCATTAGGCATAAATTCATAAACAAGAAGCAACTCTGCTCGTTCATGGCACCAACCAAGAAGTTGAACCAAATTTTTATGCCTCAAACGGCTAATAATCTTCACTTCTGACATGTACTCTTTTATCCCTTGCTTCTTAACAGAGTGGCTAGGGATTTTCTTTAAGTAGCGCCTCCTTCATCCAAGGAGTGACCTGCCTCCTCTAACGAGAGTTATGAAGTCGTTACAGATAGGGTTAGCTTCAAGCGATGGAAACGGATTATAGCGATCGCCTGATGATCCCTTTGATATCTTCTTAACAGCAATTTCCTTGTTGAGATCTGTTAAAAAACCTTTATACACACCTCCAAAACCTCCCTGTCCTAGCTTCCCTTCCTCAGGAAAGTTGTTAGTAGCACGTATAAGTTCATTGTATGTGAACTTCCTTGGCCCAGTATCCTGGTCAAACTCGCCATCAATATCAATATTTATGTCATCCTTATCTCCCCTGGATCTCCTCTGCCACTTCATATACACTACTAAGCCTATTCCAATCATTAAGATACTAAAACCAGCTACAAGGCCACCTACCAACGCCGCTTTACTCTTACCTTGGTTTTTACCTTCTTCTAAGGTTGAGCTTAATTCCCAAGAAAGGATACTATGAAATTCGTAATTTGAACCTGTTGCACCAGTAAATCCAACTCTAACTAATTCCGGGAGAACAGATCTCAAGTCGATGACATAAAAAAGATTGGATTCCCCATTAAACACCGGATTAGTATCATAAGTTAAGTAGACACTCAAGTTCTTGGAAGAAGAATCATATGTTATCCAAGAATTTGCTGTAGTTCCATTCTTCATAAATCCACCACTCCATAACAAATCAGCCTTTGAAGCTACAGAAGTGACATCTATTCCTATATGATCCGTCGTATTTGGTCCTGCTGTTGCATTACCCGGATCCCATGGCGAAGAGCAGGTATCAAACTCTACAGCAACAAATTGGTATTTACTAGTAAGGTTGCAAGTCTTTATGTTGAATTGACCACTTATCAAACCAAGACACGCGCCAGCTGAGTTATCTGGAGCAGAAGCTGTTGAGTCATCAAAGGGCGCTAGAAAAAAGGTCAGCCCATCAGCATAGTGTTTAGGAGCATCCTGTGAGATATTAAATGAGAAGTGGGTTGTAAAATTGGTTGTCTGATTGGTGTTTTTATCCCAAAGGCGCATGGGCTTATTGTAGGATGCTCGTCCTACACTCTGAAGATAATCAGCACCATTTGCACCATTTCTGGTGAGCTGGATTGCCCCATTTGCAGGGATTGCATCGTTCTGGTAGCTAATAGTCTGTCTACTGTTTTCGTCGAAACCAGAGAATTTAAAGTACAATGATTGTACATGGGCAACAATAAACAGCCATGAAACAAAGATATGAAAGACACATGAGGTCTTATTAAAATGATTGGAGAAAAGAAATGAACTCAAGGTTTGAACGAATTCACTCATTCCTAAAGAGGGGAAAGCAAACCAAAAGCTACAGAAATAAAATTAAAGGAGATGGATGATGATAGGCCAACTAGCTTGCTCTACTTCATTTATGAAGTCCAGAAAACCTAATTAGCCAACTGCATTTTTTTGACATCGTCAAACAGAAGTACTACATTAAACATAAAGTCACGGAAATGCACATGTTAAGATGGATATGTGGGAACACTGTAAGAGATAGAATCAGAAATGAAGTTATCCGCAAGAAAGTGGGTGTCGTAGGCATTGCACACAAACTAAGGGAAAATCACCTACATTGGTCCGGACGTGTAAGACGGAGACCCGAGAGTGCACCGTTACGAAGATTGGGAGAGTGGGATCATCAAGAGGTTAAACGAGGTAGAGGGAAACCGAAAATGACTTGGTTGAAAGGAGTTAAGAAGGATATGAATCATATGGATTTTCATGAGAATGAGGTATTTGATTGTAAGGGGTGGGGGGGAAGATTTTTGTAAATGACTATACTGAATAATCACTTTTGGTTCATATAGCCGACTCCACTTATGAGATTTAGGTGATTGTAAAATAGAAGTACTACGGCCATGTTATGATTTATTGAACTGAGTTGAGCTGAACTGAACTGAATTGTTTATGAGAAAAAAGAAATTAGGAACTGAATTGAACTGAAATGAAATTAGCTTAAGAGAAACGGGCCCTACTCTCGTTATATGAAGTGATGATATTTAGGCCACTTCTCTTTCAAGTTTTTAATGCATGACTTTAACTACTAATATCATTAATGGCGGATTTAATAAAAATTATGAAAAAGTATACATCGACCTTTATCTAAAAAGATCTCAGTATCTTTCTTTATCATACAATTGTTTTTATTCTGCCCGTATGAACTTCATACAACAAAGATCAAGGAAATCAATAAATAAGAGGAATTGACATATAATTGACCTGAAATTTACTCTATTCTTAATACCCTACATATTATCACAAGTCAAAACTCGTGCTCATACTATTTGATCAGTTCATATATATCAGTTTTGCAATTTTTCTGCAGGCAAATGTTTGCATGATTATTATCTTTTAATTTTGTTTTTCCAAATCTAAAGTCCATTCATTTAATAAGTTCAGCAACTAACACTTAACAGAAACAATAAATATGCTAATCCAGATGAGACAAGCTGAGTATGATGTGGCTTGGTTTGTGTTGATGAAGCGAGTCAGCAATTTAACTGGTATGCTCGGCTATTACATTCTGCCATTTGCTGATTTCTCTCTTAAATCTGCATGAGTACTAACTACTAAGGCAAATGAAGAAGTCAACTAAACTCTTACTTAAAAGTTGTCGGGAAAAGTCAACCTAGTCCGGATTAGCGGGCAAGACCCATTGGAAGAGGAAAAATTAAGGGGGGAAACCCCATCTCCAAAGTTCCCTAAGTGGAGTATAATCCTACAACATACCTCATGGTTATAACATAAGATGCAAAAGTTTAACTATGTCAAGGCTTGCTTGGTATAAAAAAAAAGGGTAAGTTTTAGAGGGTTTATTTTTTGTAATAAGGCTTAAGTGAAGTACTACGCATTATGGTGTAAAAAGTGATAAGAAAAATTGGTAAACTTAATATTGACTTGAGAGATATTATTAAATAATCATTAAAAGTCAAGACTAGTGAGGAGAGAAATATTCCAAACAATTAAAAAATAAAATAAAATAAAATAAAGATTAACACTTAAAACGGTTAAGAAAAGTGTAACACTAAAAAAAACAAGGAGAGTATGAAGTAATTTTTATTCAAAAGCAATAGAGATGAGAGATGTTATCAAAATAATACAGTAATTAAAATTTAAGATAATTAGAGGGGAGAAAGAGAGAATATTTCAAAAATAAAAGTGTAACACTAAAAAAACAGCTAATGAAACACTAAAAAGAAAGGGGGAATGTCAATTTCGGTGATTACTGATTTACAATTAATAATCGCCCAGAATAACTAAAGTACCAAACTATAATTGCAAGGATTAGGTCTCATTGCATGTCTTGGGTCATAAGATCAAACCCAACTAGGAGTCAAGAAGTAGGAATTCCCTTTATTTCCTCTCCCTCAATCCCAATTGAGTCCGACTTTTGGAGTTAATAAGGTCTTAGGTACGACATATTGCGTTGTAATAACATATTTCAGTTATTACACATGCTTTAAAGCGCACACCAATTTAGGTTAATATGTCCTAGCAGGTTGCAGACTCTTCTGCAAGGCCTTCTTTACTCGGTTACTCCATTCACTTACATTGAATAAGTCGGAGAGGAGGTTACAGGTCCCATACCATTTCCCTTGCCTTGATAGCATAGAATTTTAATTTTTGAAAAATAAAGATCTGAAATCTTCTTCAATCTATTCATCTAATAAATTGTCAAAATCCTGCACATTAAAAGGGAATACCGTTCTGGAAAGACAGAACACTTGTAAAGGTTCAAACAATACATCTCTCAGCTACAACCATTTCTAACACAACTGCCACCAATCCAATATCCACCGACCCGTGACATAACTTTTAACAAATATTCATCCTCAGGACCTCAGCTAACAAGAAAGCACTTTGCATGGCAATCATCAAGCACTTCAGTCCTTCCAAACCAATTCAGACATTTGCTTTGTCAGCAACAGCATTATCCATCATCTCATCTACAATTATTTCTGTTGGTTCTAGGCAGCCTCTCAAGGAGTCGAGTCCAAGTTGAGCTCTTTCGTTATCCCCAAAACCAAAAATTTGGCCCCTGTTTGTGATGACGACTGTGTGATATAGGCCAGTACATATCTGAGAAATATAGTGACCTCTCAAGCTATCAAGGATACGTGGCCTAGTGACCTTATCAGATGCTCCCCTATCTGTAAACCCAAGGCTACCAAAGGCCATCCACCCAAAGGCATAAACAGAGCCCGTGTCCACTAGAACATAAGTTTTCCTCTTACTAGCACAAACCTGCGGGTAACAATAAGGTTTAGTAATGGAAGCTTCTATATTAGTCACTGCAAAAAAAATTACTGCAGTATAAACTTTGGCAATGACTGACGGTTTCTCCCAAATTAAAGGGCTAGAGGTGACCTTTTTTTTTCAAAAATATATTTGCCTTACAGAATTTTGTATAACACACAGTTCCAACACCAGCTAGGAAGCTACCCTTTGCTCCTTCCTTTCTTCCCCTTAAAACCCTCTTCCCCACCCCCCCAAAACACAATGATATTAGAAAGAAAAGGAACAAAGATAAGAGAATAAGGAAATGAAAGATCCAATTGCCAAGATATCAGCCCCAGTTTGTACGCTACAGCTACAGAATAGTTTGGGGTGCAAGTTATTTGGAGGGAAGAAACTGAAAGTCCACTCAATCTGATTCAAATTGATGAATTGGACTGTATTTAATAATTAGATGTTGTGTGTGGACTCTGGGCAAGTATTGTTAAAACAATTAACATATTCAATATATTAACAGCCTGATTTAGTGACTTAAGTCATTAATTGGTAAAGATTTAGTTTGCACATTTGCATTCCCTCCATGGTCCTTCACCATGTTGTATTAAAGAAGAAACTTGAAGTAGAGGGGGGCTCATTTTAATCAAAATTTTCTAGAGTTTATGTGCTTCTTTGACAGAATATAGTTATAGAAAAATTATTTTTGCTTGAGAACTCTTTTTGTTCTAATCAGTGCTGCACTCTAGTACAGTAACTCGTTTCAAAAATTTTGATACTTAGGAGCATTTTGGAATGCCTCAATATTTTCCATGTATGTAAGATTTGCGTTTGGAGTTTTGGCCATATGTTAGGTCGCTAAGATTGTTGTTGCTTTATCCTAAAATGAAATTGCATACAATATCCCATAATGGGCTTTAAGCAAATTGAATTTATGAACAAGGTTCGGTTGGATCCAAATTGAACTGATTGAAATGATACAATTTGGATCTATTACCTTAAGCAATTCAGCTTAGGTCTGGACTATTATTCCGAAATCATTACATTAGGGTGCATTTAGGTTTAAAGCATGTCCAATCTAAACAATCCAATGTTATACAGAGTAGTATGGACTCTGCAGAGGCAAAGTGTTCATCCAGCTTCTCTCCACAATAAGTAGCCAATGCTTTCTAATTTGGGTCATTGGGTCAGTAAGGATTGGGAAGGTCCAGATCACACATTTCACATTTTCTACTTCATACTCCAAAAAAACAAAAACAAAAAAAAAAAAAAAAAAAAACAAAAAAACAAAAAAAAAACTGAGACAACTTACAGAACTAGGCTGCAAGAATTCTATATTAAAATTGAATTTAAACATTTAAAAAGTTACTAACCTGCACAGCAAGATGATTCTTCAGGCTGCTTACAATTCCTGGGGTTGTCTTTTCAATCTCATCTCCATGACCCAACGCACCACAATAACCTTTGCCCCAAGTATACACCTTAAAGAAATGAAAAGAAAAAGAGGCACAAGATTCAGAAACGTATACTGGAGATCAAATAATTAATACAGTTTCATACTTGACATAAAGGATCAATCAGCTTGAATGTACTTACATATCCACAAGAATCAAGGGCCACCACATGCTCATCACCAGCTGAGACACGAACTACATGAATACCTTTTCTTCTAAATGACAAGATAGCCCGCGGCTGGTGTTCATTACGCTGTTCCCCATGGCCTAAACAGAAATTAGTACCTGAACCAAATGAGTAGACTGTCCCATCATGAGCCACGGCTATGGAGTAACTTGGACCAGCTGAAATTTGAACTATAGAGCCAACACTCTCAAGCAGTTCAACAAGTTTTGGCATAGGTCTATCCATTGTGTCACCATGACCAAGCTGCCCATGCGTATTTGTTCCACATGTGTAGACATGGCCTTCTCTTGTGAGAAACATAGTAAAACTAAGCCCTGCAGCAACCTGCACAAGTTACAGACTTCAATAAATGCTGTCCTGGGGAAAGAAAAGATCAGGTAAACACATATTATGCAAGGCAGTCAACACTCAACAGATAATTCATGATTAATTATCTTTTCCCCTTGGAGGAATTGAGACCTTCAAGGTGTGTAGAGTGAACGCAGAAATGCAGATATGACTCTAAGCTTCATTACCAAAGATAAAAGGGAGTGAGTAGCGACAACATTACAGTGCTCATAAAAGTCAAATTATTCTTGTATCATTTTCTGGATTCATTTGACTTTTATTGTTTTTCAGGACAAATTTATGGCATCATAATGAAATTTGATTGCCATTAATTTGGCCTGAAAACCTATAAAAGTCAAATGGAACCAAATAAAATGATACAAAAGAATCTATAAAATTAGCCCTCCACACACTAGAAAGAACCTACCTTTGTAGACAACCAATACTCACACCCATCCCCACAAATAGAGCAGCATCATGTATACATGACAATGGAATGAGGTAACTAGCCAAAAAAAAACATGCAAAGTGCTATTCCAAGCATTCAGTAATCAACCAAACGCTAAAATGTAAAAACTCGAGCTAAATGCTGAGGTCAATCTATATTAGCCCAAATAAAGATATGTAACACGAACGAACCACAAATCTAACCAAAGAAAAACAAGACAAGTGAGCAGTTTCATAAAATACCAAAAATCCTTACTTGCTTACAAGAAATGCCTTTCAGAGCTTCAACCAAGCGAGGCCGGAAAATGGGTCGACCTGTGTCTTTATGCCCACAACAAAATGAGGAATTGTCTCCACATGTGAAGACCTGTACCATCAAAAGATTGTTTGATCAACAATCAATAAACTGAGACATATAAGCCATCAAAGTGTTTACAAAAGAAATTATAATGTCACAAACCTCTCCAGACTGTGTGACAAAAGCAGCATGATTGTGTGAAGCTGAAACTTGGACTACAGGCGAAGAAGACGGAAAACTGATCCGACTAAATGACCCGCATTGTGTCATTTCTGAACCCTGACCGAGAACTCCACACAAGCTGGAACCACAAGAGTAAACTGATGAATTGCTGATAAGCAAAGTGTGATATCTCCCCGCCTTTATCTGCATCTGCTGAATAATTTAACAGCATAAGCAACAAAAGAGTCATCCTCAAAGGAACAAACAGAAACTAGTTTACATAATTACTACAACTCATAAAAATAAGAGTCATACAGCACAAAAGATTTAGCCCAATCAAATACTTAAGCTCCCCAAGTAAAGCTAAAGTGTTAAAGCAAAACATTCCTGATGTTCCACCAAACACACAATTATAAGCATAACAGTTTTTGATCTAACATCTCTTACTGTAGACATCAACTTATCAAAAAAATTTAAATCAATGAATATAGTATATTCCCAGAACATAAAATTTTATATGCAAACCAAAACATGATACATTTTTGTTAGAAATTCAACAAAGCAAGCAACAATCAACAAAGTTAACAATACATTGCAACCCAAGTAACTAGTGTAACAATGCTAAGAAATTCTTAGAATTACTTCAAATTACCAATATGTTTTAGCCAAAAATCATCATAAAGTAGCAATACTATATCATATAGCTTAGATGAGCTACATTTCACTTTT